GTCCCACATAATTGAAAAACTTTATTACCGGAAAATATTATTTATAAATACATACATAATATGTACATATTATGTAGTATGTACATATTATGGCGATAAGAYAATTCTCAAGCCCGTTCGGATTACCRCGTCTTTCGGATTAGCCTGTGTTCGGATAATCGAGACCCTACTGTAATAACTAATTCATATCTACACAACTAAAGATAATGTATGTCAATGATTAATCGACCTAAATACGAAAATAGTTCTTATCTTGTAGGTACCTGTTAAATAGTAAATATCGCTGGCTTCGAATCCACTTCTCGCAGGCCTTTATGCGCCATATAATATTAATATATTATTACTAAACTTTTTGTGTTGCGCAAAAACTTAAACGTATAATTTTCGTTACATATTGTTTTGTAGCATCGAATTATCAGTATTCGAATGTTCTAAACATTTTTTTTTTCAGTTAAATCGGTAATACACTCACCACCCGGGAACGCCGTTAAGCAAAGCTTCGGGTGGTGAGTCGCCATCGTTTATTAAAAAAAAACAACACGACGTACTATGGGTGCGGGAGGGACAATCCCCCAACCACAACCCTTTACATTACTTTAAAATAAATAAGATAGAGCGTGGAAGGGACAATCCCCAACCACGAGCTCTGTAAGGAAAACAAAACAGAAGACGTGCGATCGATGATTCGGCCCCGCAGCCTAGGTCGGAAGCCAAACCACCGACGGCGTGGTGTCAGCCGTGCCCACCCGTACCGGGCGTGCACCCCCGTCACCTCCAACGCCTTGACGTAGTGACACAGTGTCGGAACTGCCTGTCCCACTCGGTCTCCTCCTTGACCGACATCACATCCTTCGCGATGTAAGCAACCACCGTCTAGTTGGCCGGACTCTCCAGCATCCTGGACACCAGTCCGCCCGGGTTGAATTGTCCGATCGTGTCGATCACCCCTGATCGCCTCGCAGCGAACTAGGGTGTGCTGAGCGTCGTCGACCTCCTCATCGTAGCCGTTGGGTGGACTGCAATGGGAACACGCAGTGTGAACATGAATTTCTAAATTAGAAATAGTAGGCATTCAAGCTGATGTCTGGAGACAAATTGCATTTAATATTAGTGAAAAATCTAAGGAAGAAGTAACACCAGCATCTTTGAGGGTTCGTGTTGCCCTAGACCGTGGTGGTATAAAATAAAAATTAGGAATAGAGTCAATTGAGTCAAATAAAGTTGAAGAACCTTATCAAAAAAATGGTATATACAATTAAATAAAAATTGAGTAGATTATATATAGCATTAAAACTTTTATATATTTTTATTCATTTAAAAACAATATATTATTCTTTTTAAAAATTGTCAGAATCTTCATATAGTACATCTGAGGAAGAGGTAGAAGAAAATCATGGTGATGAGCTATTATTTGCAATTACATTTTCGTTTAAGAAATGGGAAGCGATT